GGTTGTGAGACTTGGCCTATTCGAGCAGCGGATCTGAGACGTCTTCAGGTGTTCGACAATCGTTGTCTCAGGACCATAGCTCGTGTGGGTTGGTGTCGGCGAATCCGTAACGAGGCAGTTAGAAAGCGTGTTTTCGGTTGTGTAACGGGTACTTCCATTGAAGAATGTGTCCAGCACCAGAAGCTGCGTTGGTTGGGGCATGTTTTACGCATGCCGAACCATCGTTTGCCGAAGAGAGTACTGTTTTCCACGCCCAATTCGGAGTGGCGTAAACAGAGAGGTGGCCAACCGATGACCTGGCAGAGGAGTATGAAGGAGATCACGAAACGCTTGGGTGCTGTCGGTGCTACTCGCCTTCCAGGATGGGGACCGCGTGATCCTCACTGTGCCTGGTTGGAGACACTACAAGATATGGCTGCCAACCGATGTCAGTGGCGTTCTTGTTGTCAGTTTCTGTCCAGATTGCCTGGGTGAATGTCTGGAGGTATAGGCACCTCAGAATGATTGTGTTAAGCTAGCATTAAGTCCCTCCCCCATCCACCTTTATTCTTTTCTTTACAATAAGGCTTTTAAATAGGTCGTGGTTGTACGGCAGTGAAGCATCGGTGTTGAACACTGATGTCATGCTATCGATGATGATGATGATGATGATGATGATGATTTTAGAGGGTACTAACTATAAAATGGCTACAGCATACGAAGCATTGCCAGAGGTTTGGCTTCGGAATTCAACCGCCACAATGTCAGTGCTGGTCAACCGTTTTTCGTACAGCATCCACGTTTTTCTACTGCTTAGCATTTGGTTCTGTAAAGGCCAGAGAAGAATACTCAAAAATGCCTAATGGTACTCATGGCATATCCATAAAATGCTAAGGACAAATCAAATCAGAACAACGGTTGCCATGCTACGGCATCTCTGGGAGGCGACGAGCCCCCTGATCTCAGCAAATAAGAAGCCAATAGCCTGCGGGTAATGCGTTCAAAATGTTAGAAGTACCGAACTGTGACAAGTCCCCTTCAAGTCAAAAGCCAAGTCACTGCTCTGCATAGTTCGCAAGGCTATCATGTTGAAATCAATCATCAGTCCTCAATACGACCACCTGATTCGGAATCAAGAAACCAATTCGTCGCATTGGTCATATTAGTCCGGATCGGTTGTGTTGGCCGGATCCAATTTGCCGAGAATTCCCTCGGTACTTTGGCACACATACCGCCAAAGTTATACCAACCACCCGACCACCCTCATCGTTTTTTATTACACAAATGTGGAATCCAGGAGGGCCATGGTCAGATATCCAGAAGCGAGAAAAAACACGAAACAATACAAACCTCAACAGTATTTAGCTCGGCTTTTGAAGATTTATGGACCGTACGGATTAGAAGTTACAGAATGACAAACAAATTTAAAGACTGAATGTTCTTTGGAAAAAGACGAGGTCAGCAGTGGTAACTTCTGATGTGGTTGACAGGATGGGAAAAAGTTGAAATATGTAGACAAAGGGACAGAAGAAGCAAACTCTGTTGGACCATGGTAGCAAAGGCTTGTTAAAGATACACTACTTCTGTAAGTCTGGAGAGTGAGGTCCATCGCCCTTTGCTTGTCTGCTTACGACCCGACGGACTGTGGCTCTCGACCTGGGAAGGACAGCTTCCATGATGCTCCAGGTGTTCTTTTACAGAGCGCCAAAAACTCATACATTAGTAGAATAAACACTGCTGAGGTCTAACTGGATGGTCGTCCTGGGTCGGATGCGAGACGCACGGAAAACGGAGAGCGAATACTTCAGATATGTGCCGATCACATACCTTACTTTCGCAGAACCGAATTCCGGAACAGCGGAAATAACTTAAGGACGTGGTACCCAGAAACGAGTCTGCGTTTACCCCGGCCATGCTGTTTCCTGCTGCTACTCTCTAAGTCTACACAAAGTGTGCACACTTCACTTAGTCACTAAGACGCTCGTGGACCCAGGAATAAAGCAAGCCTACCAGAACCGGCTTTTGCATGACCTGCCGGATGGACCGATGTAGGATTTCAACGGACGCTGGGGGCAGGTATCTAAAGCCTCACTCAAAGTCTAAGCTTCCGCCTTCGGTGCAATCCAGCCAAACTCAATTAAACACCGGATCATTTATTGGATCGGTTACGCTTGAGGCCCATTGGTAGATTCCTCCTGGTTACAACCACAATCCAACCGGACACATCATCTGATGATAGGTGGAACTGGTGTCCGTGCATACCGGGAACCTTCGTGCATCCGAAAGCCCGAAAAAATGGAAAATACGAGAAATGTCAGAAACCTTCGCAGGTTGTTCAACTGAATTTGTTCCACTGCTCCTTCTGTTACAGGAGGGACCTGAGCTACCAGTACTTCGGAAAACTGGTATCAGGGGCCAAAATAGTTCTCTGCTATCTATCACTGGGCACAACACTTTGAACAACAATTCAGTTGGATACCTATTACCCCCAACCCGTACTGTCGGTCTTTACCAAAAACGTGAACCTCCTAAAGCCTCAGGTGTCCCAGTGTGTATCTCTACTCAAGCGTCATCGCGTTTCTAGTCCAGAAGACCTTCCACCTTCCATGTTCAAGGACGTCGATGGATTCTTCAGCAATGTCGTCCTAGACCAATTGCATCTACCCCACCCCAGACAAATATGGTGGGTCGATAACAGTACACATTTCCAAAGAGTACTCGCAATGGGTGCAGTAACCATAGGGACGTCAGTCTGACTCCCACTGAACAGGGCTTCTAGCATCATTGGTTCCTGGTGTGCGAAACCTTAATCGATATGCACTAAGCG